GTTCATAAGAGGTATAACTTACGGGACGCAAATTAGGTAAACTATCTTCTTCTAGGTAGGCTTTGGAAGATGATCTGCTTTACCACTTGGAGTGAACTTGCTCCCCTATCTCAGCACGAAAAAAACCTAAAGAACTTCAAGTGCGCGTTCGTGGATGACTACCTGGTTCATTGTGCTGTCAGACTGGTGACTAGAACGACACCCACGTCTGCGCCTTCGGTGAGCGTCGCATAAAGGCTTCGATTCTACTACACGGTAAATGAAATCGGTTGTATTCATGAAATCTGCTTTTTGACTTTTCTGCCTATTGACAACGGCCAAGTCATTGTCGAGGAGGTTGGGGCTCTGGTGGTGTCAATTGGTAGCGTCTTCACCGGGTCACAACCATCTCGACAGGTGGCTGAAGTTCATACCGTTATGTCAGAACGTTATTATAACAAGCATGTCAATTTCTTAAATGGTGTTAACTCCTAAATATATCTGTTATACGTATCGTATACGTACGAATCGTAGTGCATGCATTTTACTAAGAGATCCATCTTGAACCTCACAAGCGAACGCGCTTCGGGACAAGTTCAACTTAGTTGTGCACATTTTCCCATGAAGTACGTTTCCGCTCAAAAATGACGCTTCCAGACCTGGCGCAGTTCAGGGGTGCGTTCCTGATTTCAATCAACACAGGCAATATATCCTCACGAGTAATTACCCTGTTCATGTAACTCTCAAAGCATCACCGGGTAATGATTCGTGCGGATCTGTGGCCACATTCTATCAAGTACCTTAGGACTAAGCTTTTAGGAATCATTATTGATTTTTATGAAACCGCAATTTGTGAAATCCAGTCGATTTACCCATATCGTAGAGTTTTCCTCTCGTCACTCAATCTGGGTTGCTTGTCACCGCAAGTGTCTACTTTGGTAATGCGATTAGGATGGCTATCACCGGGTAGATATATGCGCGACATGTGGCTGCCTTCATCGAGGTTATCAGGTCTAAATATTAATAGTTATTATTGTGTGGGCTTAGGGCCGAAGTAACGAAAACCACAATAAATTCGATAATCATCAAAACCAAATTTCCGACGCGGTTCAAGCTACAGTTCCCGTGAATGTTTACTCTGGTCATGTTATTGAACCTATCATCACCGGGCGGACATTTGCGCGTTTATGTGGCCTCATCCATCTACCGCAATGACTTCATGTGAGTGTTGCATTATGGAACGGATAGTACAAAGTCAGCTACAATTAAGAAAGCTAAATGAAAAAGAGACTACGTTGATCTCATTTTAGTGATACTTACAATTTTGTTCGAAATGTGGCAAGGGCTGAGCGGGTAGCGTAATTGTATTGAAACTTGTGAAACGCCAGCGTCCAGTGCTTGGCTGCGATTCCCACGAAATACGTAGAAGATTCTTCATTACTATCCACATCGTACGGACCTGCTGCGTCCGTTGTCCATCATTTTTTTTTTCATTGAGTTTCATAATGAAAGAACCGCGCGAAAGAAATTTTATGACCATTATTACCGATTTAAGGAACTGCTAATTTTTTAGACCACAGTTCCCGTACATGAGCACCCTAATTTTATTGTTACCGAAGTCATCACCTGGTGTATATGTGTGTGATATGGCCCTATCCGTTTAGAGACATCTGCCTAATGCTAATACCTTGCGTGGTCAGACGGCGGTTCCGTTTGTAGGCTCTGCTGCGGCAAATAACGGCCTATGTTAAGTGAATGTTGTCTTTCTTAAGGTGAGAACAGTTTAAATTTTAGGTCCCCCGAATACCTACCGTAATATTATTGTGCTCATGCATCACCGAGAATAGTTTGCACGATTTTCCAGCCACATTCCGCGCGACGGAATCTCTTGGGCCAAAAGAAATTTTGGAATGACACACGCTGTGATTACTGGCTCCTAAGGATACATCATTCAATAGCAGACACGAATAATTGTAAACAATGTTTCGAAGCGATTTGGGCTACAGTTCCCGTAAATGTCCACCCTGGTTATGTCGCTGTTGAAATCATCACCGGGTCAGCATTTGCGCGTTCGTGTGGCCTTAATCATCTACATTACGTAACTAGTGTGAATATTGCGTCTCGCTGAGGTAATCTTAGGAACGCTTACGAATGAGGTAAACGAACTAAGGTTAATCATCTTTTCGCAATTTAAATCAATAGAGATTAAGAGCCTCTCAAAAAACTAGCTACCTGGATTTGGACAGTGGATATCGCCTCCGCTGCATGTTCTCATGAAAGAGATCTTACGCGGTGAAACATATATAGTAACTGGCCAGCTATAATATTGCGTTTGCCTAGGTGTCGACGGTACTCTTCACACTGTTGTAAGTAGATATTTCCATAAACTATCGTTGTTTCCCTGAAGATAGGCGTTTCTCAGTCTTATCAAGTGTACCTCCATTTCAGCATCAGCGGGTACAAGTTTGTGTCACGCTGTGGCCAAATCCGTCAATTGTGTCCGTGAAATCTCGATACTATATACGTCATTGCAGCTTAGTGGCACAAGTTATTCGATTGAACATGTTGCGAACGGTTGCAAGTGCCTGTCTATTCCACAACTGTGTACCACAATATGTCCCACAATCTTTCTATTTGAAGATATTCTCATAAGCCTCTTGGACATGTTTTTTTACCAATAGCTAAGATCTATTGAGCGCTGCTGGTTATATATATATATATATGTGTGTATGTGTATGGCTAGATTCGTCCACTTTATCAAGCTACGACTGGAAGCTAATATAATACTGCCGCTTTCACACGGTTGTCAGTACCTTTGATTCAATATAATTTTTGTGGTTCGCATTTTAGTAGAAGCTTTAAATTGAATGATCAATCGTTTGAAAGACACAAAAAAATCAGGAAACTATGGGTTTTTTAGTGTGGTCTTTTTGTAATCACTTCAATGCGGAGAGACCAATCAGGAGCGATTATCATGGCCAATTGTGTACGTCTAAGAAGATAACGGCGACGAAATGGTAATATGAAAAGGTAACGGCTTTATTTAAACACGAAGAAATAAATAGAGTCTTTAAGCCCCAAAAAAAAGGCCCAAAAGCGATGCCATAACCTTGTATCTGATGTGCATCTCCCACTTTTTTTACTGTTTGTATTCTTGATTTCAGTGGATTAGGTAATACGTGTCGTTTTTTGACCCTTATTTACACCTTTCTAAAGTTATCATCTAGGTACTTCATTCGTGTACAAATTATCAAAATCGATTCCACCTTTTTCAAACGGTTGGTTAGCAATTTCAGTGGTTCAGATAATGAAAGAAAATTATATCCAGTTTTTCTCTGATCAACAGTGCTTTAACAAAAACCTTATGGCCCCTGCCATATGGCAGAGAACGTCTCTATGGTATTACTAAACCAGTATGGTGAACTAGACGGGTTTTTTGACAGATCTTGTTGTCTGCGCGGCTCTTTCCTTTGCAAACGGGTATAATGGTTACTTATACAAGATGAAAAAACTCTAAGAAATTATTTTTTTCGGAGGGACCTTAAATTCCATTAACGAAAAACAACAAGTTCCATATACGTGGCTAGTCCGTAATGGAAGGATTTGTTATTTAAGCATTAACAAAGGATAAAATGCATTGGACTGATTCCCGGCTGATCCTTTAGGTCTACAAGTTTCGTCGATATCTAGTGCACCCGTGTATTTTCAGATGCGCATATACGACGGAAAGACCTCGTCGAGATTTCTCGCACAGGTTTTCTAGTATCACGACTATATACAATTATATTATCCACGTTAGTTTTGTGGGTATACTCAAGCCTTGTCTGTAGTTGTGATAAAGTTGTTTTGCCATCATGCTCTGTAGTGGAGCGTATGTGTTTTGTTGACATTCTTCTCGATAGCTTACCCATTAAGCTTTGCCCATTAATGGCTCAGAGTACACCAAAACAAAATACCGTCTATCGAAGACGGAGTGAGAACGAGCAGGACAGAATTTTTAGTCGAGGAAAGCTGTGAACGTCGCTCAGCCACCCGTTGCTCCGGCTAATTGCGTCATCAATAATCAGTCGGTTTTCTCTCAATCGTTCGAGTGTACCGAACAGTGTAAAGGACGTGTTGACGGAACTGCGCAGATCTTAGGACCTCGTGATTAGAGTGCCGTCTGCTCATTCATCATAACGCCCATCACTTCCGAGAAAAATGTAAATAATACACGAAACCCTACGGGAATGCTCCTTTATTAGCCCAACTTCAAGCGTACATCGAATTTTTAGATGAGTAAGAGCTACAGACTGAAACAATACGGGACAAATAATGTGGTTTTCAAGCCGGTTAGAACGGCTACTGTGTTCGTAATTTGAATGTCGGTACCATTCTGCTACGACAAGGTAATTCCGGACGTCTATAGGCCTGTCTAGACGTGAGAGGTAATGCGTGGGCACACTCTGTTTGGTGCTAGAGGTGGCCAATCGTTTAAAGTAATGCTTAATTAAGGCAGTAGAACAGAATGTAAAACTCAAAACACCCGTTTTAATATACACGAGTAATGGACGTTACGCGAAAGGAATAACTAGAACCGATTCAGATTTATTCTCAGCTCGCAGCCGCTGACGTAACACTATTTACGGCGAAAACACTACGAACTAAAACGTTTTGACATAAAATCTCTTTAAAGATCTGTTATTCGACACAAAAAGTAGACCAATGGGTCAATTTGAAAGATTTTATTATGAAATTGACTATGTCGTATTATAAAGCATACAAACCGAGCTCTGTTTTTATTATCACTAATGATAAGTGTTCTGGTTTATTTATAAATGTAACCTGTAAAATACGTGGCCATCTGGAAGCACCCGAATCTCTTCGCATAATTAATCGAAATAGAACAGATATACTTTTTTAGAACACACAGCTTTTCGTGTATAAATCATCAGCCAATAATACTTGATATCTGTTTTCTTCATGCCGTTAGAATTTACCCAAAAGGAATTAGGTCTACATCGATTTCCCACAACGTACAGCATTTTATCTACAGCCGCTGTTTATAAATCACGATCGCATATACCCACCCGTTATGATCACCGAGCTAGTGCAGAATTCTTGTGTTACTTATATGGACAACTATAACTAACTGGTATCTGTTTCGCCAGATCGTCTCCTAAAGCACACAAACGCATCCAAGGAAACATCGTCAGTTTGTCAAATTCTACCTGGCATCCCGCCCAGTAGCAACCGTCCGTTGACAAATCTTTCGACTAAATCACCGCCAGGCACCAGATCATCATGCAGTAGCCTCAGACGAATAGGCACACTGAAGATACTATCTAAAGCACACGACCTGTTCCGAATCATCGTACAAACAGCTAACATTATTCGGGTCTAATCCTCTCGTAATTTTCCCGTATCGTACGCCATAATTAACGATGCGCATTCAATGTAACGATAAAGTGTTCTTCTACGAGTCCCGATCGCTCCCACCTCCCTCTCGTAGAGTCAATATATGGATTCGAATACTTCAGATCTCGCATTTTCAATTCTCGATTTTAATGCCGCCGTATTTTTCTTCGCCAATCATGACGTACATATATTTCTGCTAGTAGCGTAGACTGTAATTCGTCCGTGTGACGTCGTCATCTTGGTGGACGTTATTGACTGTCGTTGCTTGATCGGGTCAGTATCACGGGATATGATCTCCGATTCCGGTACTACAATGTCATCCGCAGCGGCTGAGTTGCATATGTTGCGCATACAACTCTAGGACTAGCATCAGGAGCTATATATTCGTTTCCGACGACAAGCCAAGCGCGGTGCGTCACCCGGCAGTGTCTGCTGATCCGCGCGAAGTCGAGATAAATCGGTATCAATCCTGTCTTGTTCCCGAAAAGATTGAGAAGAAGCGATTCAACGACGCCAATCCCTCAATAGTTAATTGATTTTCCTGTTTTACTGCGGAATTAGTAGACTACGACGACGCAGATATTAAGGATGAAGAAGTCGAAAAGAAAACGAAACGCTCTTTGGCAATCCGATCGGATTCGAATCGGATCAGATTGTTAGCTCGATGGCTTGCTTATGAAAAAGTTATTCAATATATCTGTACATGTCTCTGATATCTGACTACTATTCGTTCCTATACTTAGCGATGTTCGTAACCTGCTAAATGTCAGTTACAATCTATGCCATCGAATCGTTTGTCTGATTCGGTGGTGCACTCTTGATATATTTACCTTCTACCCTGTGGCCGCCACATTTTGTCTGTCTTTTTGCAGTAGCTTATGTAATAGCTCCCGTGGTGGGCCGAGTTTATTCGGAGCTACTTGTCAATACCAGCACTGTCGTCGTGCGTAGCTAGTAAATCGGGGAACTAAAAGCTTGCACTGCATCAGCTGCTCAAATAGACTCTTGGCGTCTGAGCATCATAATGGGGCGGTGTATGAGGGTGGACTATTATCAGGAACAGGCCGTTATCAACGATGCCCTGGTGACGGCTCTTCCCTTAGCCGCTGCAAGCTGCTGCTTCGTTTTACTCCCTCCCCTATAAACCCTTGATTTCCCTTTTGCGCGCTGGGGTAACGTAAAGCGCCCGCTCTGTTGCCGTGGCTGATGAACAAATCCTATTGGCTTTGCGCTGTTGCCTGACTTTGCTTAACAGGCGCAAGTTACACAAAGGGTTTTCGCCCTCGCCGGAGCGGGCCGTCTTGCCCTCGGCGCGCGGTGGTCGACGGTATTTGAGTGAAAAACTGGAGGGAGTCTCACCAAACGTACTGTCGCCGTTGAAACGGTAGTGGTTTACAGATCAGACAAAGCGGCGCGTTCAGGTAACCAAGCCTGTCATTAAAGCGAATGCCTACGGAGGCAGGTCGGTTATTGGAACAGGCAGGACTTATTCCTGGATGTAATATATAATGAAAAACAGTTTACGGCCTAGGTGACCAATTAAGTGTAACCTAACTATAAAGAGCAAGTGACAGCATCACGGATTTTACTGGTGAAATCTGTTAAAAGTAATGGTTTAGAGGAGTGTTGCATATAGGCGCTTGGTGGAAACACAGCCCCGCATAACGTGTGTGCTCGAAGAAACAGTGTAACCACGCATCTACAAAGTGGAGAATTAGTAGCCGTACTCTGTATTCGGTGTGGCTGTGGAGTGGTATCGGAATTCAAGTTAGGTCTAAGAGTTCTTCTTTAGTGGACCACGGGCGCGAGCCCTGCCTGGAGCAAGCTCCGAGATGGGCTACCCCGTCAGATGGACTATACTTCTAGCGTCAATCAGCGTAATTGGTGAGCGCCTATTACCTTGATTATAATAGCATTGTTAAGTATATGCGTTTGTTGCAGCGAAACGTTGTATAGAGGTTGTTGCCTTCATAAAGGTTACGATCATCGGATATGCGGTTAGTTATATCGAAAAATAATTACCTGTCACCCGATGTCAGGTGAGCCATGAGTCTCTAAAAATGAAAAGATCATTGCAGATTCATCCCTGCATGAAAAATCACTTTTGTAAGCTGGTCCTTGTCAATGCAGTTTGTTCTTTAATCATACTTGCCCGGCTTACGTTCGACATCGTAAGAGCTTTAGACGTAAGGGTCAATATCGAGACATTTTGCTTATGACCCATTTAGCAGAATAAGTACGCGTTTCTTACTATTATTTTTTAGACTGTTTCTTTTATTAATTTCAGTGTGCCTTTGTCCTCGGTTCCCATTAGTGAAGAAGGGATTTCGACATTCATTAATTTCATGACTCGTTGGATTTCAATATGGTGCAAGCACACTGTGTAGGTCATGTGGCCGTTACTAGCAGGTCGCAGTATACGTCGATGAAGTATCATAAAATCGTTTATTTGATCTCTTGTCGATCGATTCGATTTTGCCCTATTGACTCGTTTGAGCTACTAAACTATTCAATGTTCGTATTTGAACAAATCAGGTAGCAGTAGAGCTACGGGACACAATATTCAATAAATTTCTTTAATTTTACCTTCATTGTCTCCTGCGTCAATGTGGGCTGCCAGATTCAGTGTAATTGTGTTAGCATCGCCGCCGTTCAACAGATCCACCATAGATCTTACATTCCGCTAAATCATCCAGTGGAAACGTGGAAAACAATAAATAATACCGAATAACGTAAAAATAAAGTAAAATACGATGCATTGCGAAAATTAACCAGTAACAAAAATACAACAAGCACGAGCGTAGACGACTGAAAAAAAAAAAACAGTGTCACTGTTTGGTCACTCCAGTGAGGTTCACAGCGATATTTGCTTTCAGTTGAACCAACATGATCATCCCAGTAAAGCAGCACAAATGAATTCCACTGAAGAGTTTCCATAACTGAAGCTAGCGCTTATCTTCACTAAAGTGGGAACAGTAGAGAAGATGGGCTAACATGAACCTGAATGTATGCAGGCACTGCATTGGAGAGATGCAATAAATATTAGATTAAAAAAAAACGTTAATGTAGAGCTTTTTGTCTATTATGTTCACGATTAACTGTACGCCTTAAATGAACACGCAGACCTTAAATAAAATCATCACATGTACAACGAACAAAAATATGAGAGCTTTAGTCAATACAATAGTTAATTAAAAATATGATAATGAACGTAAGATCAGATCATTCTTAATTAACGTAGATCAGAACCGTGATTTGTACAAGTAACCTGATGTGTTACTATAGTTCTGGGGACTAAACTCACTGTGTTTCATAGAATGTCAGCGATAAGATCCTGTTGTCTACTTATGTTTTCGGTTGGGTACGTTCTACCTTTGCCCTTGAGGGAAAAACAGCGTTTGTGGCCACAAAGAAGAAAGGTAAATATAATAGCACTAGCTGCATAAGGTATTCGAAAGCTTATGCACTTACTTACCTCCTGAAAAAACTAACTGAATTTAAAGCTTGACACAGATACAATATGATTGATGCCTTTCCTTCACGAAGGCAATTCTACTATATGTAGGTAATTGCCCCATATAAATTTCGCCTTTGCGTTTTCATAGAAGATGTAAATAAAAAGCTCTTTTGTGAAATTACAGTTATCATAAGATCTAGGCTTGCAATTGGAAAAGGATTGACTTTGGGTCTTGTTGATACGTTGCTTTGATTACCAAACCTTTCAATTAGACAGTGCAGATGCAAGAAAAAAGGCCATTCAAGTAACGTCAGGCTAAGTGTAAATGATTGATTTAATGTTTTCAATATAGAATGTAATCAAACTGTTTATTTCAGCTATCAATATCAAGTCGCTGTTCAGCGTGCCTTTTGAACATCAAAACACTGAATTATTTCCAAAGACGCACGCGAAAAACAAAGAGAAAAAAGGTGGTACACTTACTATTTTCCTTCAAACATGCCTAAATCAAACGAAAAAAATACGTACATTTAAGGCAAGATTTCTGCAAAATAGGTCAAAGAAAGCGACACAAGCAAACTCCTTGCCAATTTCCTCTAACTCAATTGTTGCGCGTTTCTTCCCCTAGGTATCCTGCACGCTCTGCCACCGGCTGAAGCACAACTTATAAAGTTTCCGCGATTACGTTGGCCATCCTTTAACCGCGGTAACAAAAAAGACAGTGCCATCGAGCTTAAAGGATCATCGACAAATCACGAACCTTCAGTGACCCACACTTACGTCGGAGGTAGCGGGGGTCAATCTTCTTCTCCCAGTGTTTCACCTCCTCTTGGACCTCCGTTACCTGCTGGACTCCCCCCATCGCTCGGACCACCTCCGCCGCTTTATGGTGCAGGCTATGGCCCGTTTTCACCATTTGCTCGATCTCCTTACGGTCGAGCGCCAAACCCATTCGTTTTTCCCAACATCGTAGCACCCCCTCCTCCCTCATTGCCACCCCCATCATCAACGTATTATACCTCTTCATTTTCTTCTGGTGGACGGAAAAGTCGGCGCCGTAGACCCGTCTATGACAACGACTCACTCGAAGATGCCTCAACGGAAGATGAGCCAGTCTATATTAAAGTGAAGTCAAGAAAGCGTCGGCCGATTGTCATCGATGAGGATGAACTGCTTGGTCGAGGCCATAATGGCGCATCGAGTGAGGAAGTCGATGACCGCGAATCCAAAGTCTCGTACAAAAGCCGCTCGAAACCGCAAGTAGTGTACGTCGATTCGTCACGGGAGTACCAGACACCAAACGAACGGCGTATGCTGCTTAAAAATGAGGAAATGGTTCAAGACGCACCGTCCTATCATTCGCCGGCAATTAGTGCACTACACGCGTCAGTGAGTTCGGGCGGATACCAAATTAACTCGCGCTTGCAGTCGCAGCGGCAACCTGATAGCGTCGTGTACGTTAATGATATTGAAAGCTCCACGGGTCCATCGTATCACATTGATGGGCATGGTGATCATGAAGATCATTCGGAGTTCTCGGGACACTTTCTGCTTCAGAATATGGGAGAGATCAATCAACATCGACAGATAAAGGTATTGTTGACTTGTTGTGTTCGGCGTTATCCTCTTACAATTTAGTGATTGGCCGTTTGATATTTGCTATGATTCTACGTAGTTTTTGTTGAAGCACACTATGAATGAGGGGCTGCGTGTCGATGAAGATTTAGAGATGCGTGAACGAGGTGTTTATAATGGGATTAGCTCGGTGCTATAAACGGGACAATGAAACAGTATCAAAGTTGTTAGTAAAAAAATATGTATGATTTGTGTTCTTTCCCGTAAAGTATAGCGGTGACGACAGCGTGAGCTGAGTCTGAGTCCTACAGGAGACAGAAAAGCTCTTAGCGTTAATCGCTCTTGGTTGCCCGTCTGTGATGCGGGAGGCATCTCATCTAGCTAAGAGATACGTCAGGCCTCGTAGATCGTAATGTAGTATAGCTGAAAATATGTTGGAAATAATGTATCGATGCTTCCTATAACTAAATAAATAACAAATAATAAGGAAACATTTCTATGCACCGTGGCAATATTCTAACCTATCACCGTATGTCACGGCATGACAATTTCCAGGAAATTCCTCCAAGTCAAAAGACGTTTCGCATCCCTGAGAGTAGCACGACCACTCCGACAATTCGTATCGTCCTCAACTCGTTGAACTCGAATTCCGAATCACCCCAAATGTCGAGAGAGATAATGCCTCCGGTAACTACCCCTAACCCGTTACAATTCAGTCGTGCGCAAATTCCCCCACCGCAGTCACCTTCTTCACAGCATTCCTCCGCTCAATCCATGAACCATTACCAGGTCTACGAGCCCACTCAGAGCGTGTTCCATCAACAGGTGCCACCAACTGACAAGAATCAATTCTCCTTTGATATTTCTCAAAAGCGAACGATCGGATGGCCACCAAATGCTTCCCCAACCAGCTTTCACCACACGCCTCCATCAACTCTACCCCCGGTTCCAGCACCTCAGTTGTCGAAGTCAAACACAATCAAGGTTGCCCGAAGGTCATTCCCTAGCACGTTTCCGTCAATCTCTACTAATCCTTCCGCTGTCGCGCCCTCCAGCTCGTTGAATCACGAGAATCAGATGTACAGTTTTCCACATGGAAATTCAGACCCTGTCCAGCCTTCTGCGATTCACTCGCAGGATCCCATTCAAGTTCAAACACCAATGATGCCGATGAATCACCACATCAATTATCACTCACCTCAATCGACTTCGGTCCAAAGTTACCACCATATATATGACAAGCCATCGTCGCATTACACGGAGGCGATGTTTTTCATGGAAAAACCGAGAAAAAAGACTTCATCTTTTGTTACTACGGAGCTGCCCACCCTTTCACACACTCAAGCCCACAAGAGTCAGCAGCACATCAACTTTTCGTGCTCGACACGCCGATCGGGGTACTACGCGAATCGCATGTATAAATGTCAGGTAAACTGCTTTGTATCTTATCAGAAGTTTAATCGATATGCCTGTTGATTAATGCTATTTATATCCCAGAAATATTGTTGCCAACGTTTATTTGTTCACTTAGTTTTTCTAAGATGAGTTGTTGTAAGCATAAGTTCTATTTCTCATATTTATGATGTATATTGTAATGTATTTTGTATATGTACGCCAAACGTTCAGGAAGAAAATCGTCTAACAGTATAAGTTATAAGTGTAAAATTACGGTACCTTAGTTTTGGACGAGTAAATTCAATTTTAACGCGCTACCCCTCAACAGTGCAAGAATGGTACAGCATACGAATCAAGCATCCTCGCCTTATTTCCAAGTCCTGGGGAAGAAACAGATTTTCTAGCCAGGTAGCCAAATACGGCCAATCGTTGGAACAGACGCTTCGCTAATTAAGACCTCCGCCAAGCTTTATTGTGGCGTGGGGGGGGGGGGGAGTAGCACCCTAACGTGTCGAGCCCAATGTTTCGAGTTCAGAAGTCGGCTATAAACTTGTTTGAGTTGGTACAGACTTACAGATTGTAACTCACAAGCTCACTTGATCACCGTGAGTACCGATATAATGCATTAGTCCTTAACCTCCTTCAAAAAAAAACGGCATAAGATTGAAAGTCTCTTCTGCCTAGTAAGCCGACCTCTATTAGCATCGATGCACTAGAGACAAAAAAGTACAGGTGAACCGCTGTAATCTCCCTATATAAACAGAAAATAACGAAAAAGGCTAATATTACACAAACGTATAAATAAAATCATTGCATTCTTCTGTAGTGTCATTGCTCTTCCGTAGACACAGAAATGCTCTATGGAGGGTAATAGCCTAAGACAGTAAGATATGAAGAGATTCTGTTTGGATTTTGCTTATCGCCAGCCTAACAATTGCACACATTGTTTAACTATAGGGTAGTTGGTAGTGGAGGATCTCAATTCCATTCGCTGTCGCGCGAGTACGAACTCATGTCAAGTGCTTCGTGAGTAGAAGATTCAACGGATGATCGTAATTCAGTTAGGCGTATGCAAAGGTTTACTATGCGTACATATAGCTAGTAAGGCGGGTGTGCCAGTCAGCTTCTTGAGCCCAACAGTAAAATGCTGTGAACAATCAATACGACGAAAGCGCCCTCGTCAACAGGACTCGTTGCAGAGGTAGATTCCTTCATCCACGAACCCTCCATGGCGCCATTTCTTCGTCGTAATAACGGGGGGTCGCTCGTCCTCTCAATGGTTGGCTCAACAATCGCTTTAACGGCTACCGCAATTTCTAGTAACTCTGTAGAGATCCGAATTTTGAGGTGAGACATAGAAATTGAGGAAGATAGAGACAGCAAGGGGGGAGAGTGGGGGCAGCCGCTACCCCGTATCAGCCTTCGTCTGTGTGTGCTACCCCAGGGCTATCCTGTACAAGCCGAAAGATCATTTCCTTGGGGAACTCCCGCTAAGCCGGCAGAACCAACGGACTATTGCCCATTGCTCTTGCAAATGCCTACAGCTTGATCTCGATGTTCCGTAGTGCACAAAACGTGATGTGCTGCATTTGTAAAAATTGAACAATTCAACCAAAACAATAAAGCGACGAGCACGACCAGAAAACGCATGTGATATAGTAACTAGAAACGCCACACATGCCGCCGCCGCCACCACAGTTCAGCAGGGGCAAAACTGGACGTTGTACTATTGAGTAGGCTTGAGTAAAAGCGGTGCTGGATTCTCGGCTGGGTTATCGGACTCCGCCCGTCAAGGATAGTCCTAATAAACGATAGAGTAGCCACAGCAGCAGAAGTAGAAAAAGAACATGTAGAAATAGAGGACGGATCCGTAGAGAAAAACAGATCAAAGGAGAGAGAGAAAAATAGAAAAGAAAGAGATATATCATCTCGTCGTTGCTGTACGATTACGACTACTTCTTGGGGTCGCTGTTTTCAGGGGGTTGGTTCAATTATTTTCGTGGATACAGAAATGCTGCGGGTACTGCTTAGAGTCATAATACAAATGTTTGGCTGGGCTAGGGCTATCATTGATCAAACAGCCTCGACCAGTCGATGTCGGCTGTTGTGGAACGTTGTTCGATACGGAAAATTTGTTGGCAGAGTGATGATGAATTTGAACGGATAGTGCGAACGAACGAGAAGCCCGTCGTGTAGAACACGCGGATGCTATACAGTTCTGTGCAGTAATCGCGGCAAACCGTTGGTAAACACAGTGTAAGAGAAAGAGCGGACGCAACAAATGATTTCGAAGGTAGGTCCTCTGCATTGTGGGCACTGAGACAAATGGCTAATATAAACGTACACACACACACACATAAACAGCTATATGAAGTTCACCAAGTCGCATGATTCTTGGAACAGAGTGAATACCGTTGTTTGACACCCTCGACTGAAGCCGCCTGAGCTTCGGAAAAACTAGGACAGCGGTACCCGGCAAAAGCTGAAGTTATACGTAAATCTAGGCTGTTTAATGAATAAGATAGTGATATGCTTCACTTCAATTATGCAGCAAAGAGTTTCGTATATGCAAATATTTCCAGCAGAAAGAAGCGTTCAAAAATAATAGTGCCGGTTTTTCTGCAATGCAAAGTGGAAAGTCTATCGTCCCTTATAACGATACGAACGGCCCGGACGTTCGTCACCCGAATACATTCGGGAAATTCACTAAAGTTCTGTGAATGCGTTATGTTGCTTAACAGCTTTAATAATTACTGTAATAAAAATAACTGCTTCAATAATCCATAAGATGGACTTCGGCAGGGTATGGAAAGTTACTGGACGTAGAAGAAGGCACAGATCTTCCTGTGGTGGCTTATATAACGCAATGGTTTTGCGATTCCGGCTGGACAACAACGAAAATGCCCTATTTTGTGCCTTGGCGATAGATCTAGTTCAAATTAGCAAACAAAACATTGAATGCAGTTTACTGCTGACAAGCCAACTTAAACATTTAGCTTCGGTAGGGTCTCAACGTTGTCAGAAACTTGTGCTCCTATGTAGACGGCTTCAGTTTTGCATATAATTGTCGGTGAGAATATCCGGTTTCGTGAATACAGATCTTTTCGACACAACTATTTCTATTCTGCGCAGATCTACCATCACTGCTCGAAACGGATTTTGACCCAGACGTTCATCTGCCCCAATGGAACCGCCTTTAACGAAAAGCAGAAGCTGTGTGAGAAGGCAGATAAGGTGGCTTGCGTGGCATCGGACAGCACGAGAATACGAGGAAGCTCGCCTGCTTTGCATCAGTCGCCATCTCAACAGGTGACCGAATCTCCTCTACAGGTTAGAAACTAACGATCCGTTTCAGAATATTAAGGTAGTGCTACGTTTGAAGGGTTCTTGTTTAGAAGAGTGCACCACTAAACAGATGAAGTTTCAAGTATGTGGATCTTCGTTTCGTCGTAGATATTCAATTTTCGCCGCTCTTGTCTGCTAAATAGTGTTTGTAGATTAAGACCTTGATTCTCTTGTACTTCTATCGCCTTCAACCTAAGATATATGTTGATATAAATTCTTTGTGGTTGCGTTTGTTTTGTGGCTTCATGAAAAATGTTTACCAATTACCAAATGGGCGGTTTGGATTTGTATGCGCCCCGAGGGTCACAAGCGGCGAAAAAAAAAATTATGGGTCAAAAAGGTAACAACAAGATGTCTGGTCTTCGTCGATTAATGGACAACTCATGACCAGCATATGATTTCACGCTTCGCTGACTATCTGCTATTTACAGCGAGATGTCACAGCATTAGAATGTGCGATTTGTATTTTTCAAGCGCTTTCAAATGAGCGATTTTTGGGCATGCTTTATTTTTTTTCCAAAAACGGAATACAAAAAGCCAAAAATGATTTTGTCTATTGTGGAAAAAAACCAAGTCTTCACAAGTGCTGCAAAAGACTTTTCAGGCCCAGGCTATGAGTCAGTACCAAGCATGCAAGTGGTGCCTATGTGGCTAGTTGACGAGGTGGTCTTAAAAGACCATCCTCGTTCCGGGGATCTATCATAACGAGTAAGGGCTAGAACGTGGAAAAACGAAATAGTTCGCGCTGTTATCGAATTACCATTAAAGAGTCTGTGGAAGGATTACATACAGGTTAACTAATTGGGAAAAGTTACTTAATCTCAAGAAGGTCCAGAGCAATTACTCGGCTAAAGGACTCGAATACAGACTTGTCAGCAATTGTTTCGGGCAAACCTGAATGCAATCAGAGAAAATTCCGATTCATTCCAATGCACCGTTACAGGTGCAAAGACATGGGCATACGCCTATCAAACGAGAACAAAACCACAATCGTTTGAGTATGATTTTAAAGGAGAGTCTAAGCTGCACTATCCAAGTCAAAAGCCGAGCTTCTTTCAAGACTCTAGATGTCTTCGAAGAATGATTTTGTAGTATCGGAGAGTTGTTTACTGTACATTCATTCTAACTAGTTTAACTGCTACTAATCAATAGTTTGAGAAAATGTTAAGAAGATTGCACAATACATTGACGGACGGCACTGTCCAATCTTCTTTCTCTTTGAATTCGCGAAGAGTAAATTATCGGTTCGTTACCCAAATTGATCATGTCGCCGCTTTATCGTGCTTTTCTTGCACGAAAATGCGCTTCCTACACAAGCCCAACACCTGAATTTGGCAGATTTATCCATTTATGGCTGTTCCCATTCTTAGAACTCAAGAAATATCTAAAAGAAAAATTAGAGGAAATGTAAAGAAACTCGTTAACAGATCTAAATCGATTGAAAAGGAAGACAATTTTCACGACTGGAGAAAACGGTGGTGTATGTGCAGATTATTTGGTAGGTAACGATTAGAATTTAGCTTATTGAGGCCCGTACAGCTGGTAAGGAGAGTTACACTTCTTTAACCCAATAATCGGTACGATTAACATACAATTAACTTGTTTTGACCCAGCGGTAGTTCCGGTTGACATAAAAAATATAACTCGAGAGGGTCGAATTCCTGTTACTTTTTTTGGTTAGCATAATAGCAATCCAACTAATGAACCGACCATTGCAGATCTCTTCACGATCGGACCTCACTGATTTAGAGACGGAGACGCCTGACAGTACAACACTTTCTAGCGTGTCAACCACTGCAGATCTGCCCGTCTCCACGCAGACGTCAGTAGTTCTACAGCCGAAGTTCAGTACTTCAGTGTCTTATCAGGTTTCGTCCTCTACGTCGTCGGCGTCATAACAATCTTCTAATCAACGTATAGCCAGCAGCATCTCCATATAATTAATCATAGTCGTTAAAACAGGCCGAGCCATCTTCTTCCATTTCTGTTTAGCATGCCGATTTGTCGTCAGCGTGCTGATGATCCAAAGCTTGACCCTGCGATCAGAGACAAAGGACCTGTGCAGAGTGTTACTATCGATCACGATAATATTACGAAGAAGGAATAGAAACAAAATAGGTATTGTTCAGTCACAATTCTGCGACTACTTGTCCCTGCTTTAACCAGTGTTGCTTGTGAGACTACGCGAATGCGGATAGTTTTTTCTTTTTTTTTTTTTTTTTTTTATCGTACATTTATAACAGAGCATTGACCGCAGGATTTAGGCATGATGTTTACCGAAAAAGAATTTAGCAGGTTCGTGCTGTTTGCGTCTGTGTCGGCTTGGCAAAGTTTATGAAAGCCTTAATTCTTTTCATCGACAATATTTGATCATATCCGTATTTACATACAACTAAAACGAATCATGGTGGTTTCCTGAACAGTAAATGACCGCAATTATGATCATAAGCGATTGACGTGCTATCAATACCTCCGAAGGCGGACCAGACCTCGCTACGTTAAAAGCTGCTACGAAAGCTAGGCTTTCGTTACCTCTTTGCATTTACTAATTGAGGTATTGGCTACCGAGTTTATAGCTACTGACTCTGACAATTCCCTTTAATTTTCCCTGGCCAGTCTTTCAACAGCATCTAAACATGGCGAAACCTGCCAAAATTTGGTTCCACACTGGTCACAAACACCGGGGCCATCGACGGCGATCAGCGTAAACTAAACCTCTGCCAGCTCTCGAGCATTTTCTCATAAGCGTCAAGAAGAGTTAGCGGTTATAACTGCAGTACGAATAGGGCCGAAGAAGTTGGCATTCGTCAAAAACTGAAAGGCGTATCCTAAACCATTTTTATCCATCCATATCCGCTGCATCAGGCCAAGGCAAGCCCTATAGCAATTACGCTAACGAGCCGCTACGACGGACGGGTTGATCATGCTCATGTTGAGTTGCACTGTAGTCATGTAACTGATGTCAATGTAGATGTAGTCTGCTTAGTTTGTTACTGCTGCTGGTACTTCTGCTGTTGTTATCGGTGATGTTGCTTTTTACCACATGCCGTCGCTTGGCTTTGCTCCTGTCAATCCTCGCGCTCCCTATTTAGTTACGTTTGTTGACAGCGGCTTACTGATGCTCCTTTTGGCTCGGGCGGGCTGTTTATTGCAGAACGAACCAGTCAGCAACACTTGCTCTTGCCATGCTTAGCGACATGTTACTGTAAACATTGTTGAGGCTATTACTAGGACAACAGTTGCTGCTGTTGCCGAGTGTCATCCGTAAGAAGCAATCCCCGAGACGAGTGCGTCGGTTCGCCTATCTATACTAAGCAAACGCACATCCGTTTGTTTGTCTGCCTTAACGGCAGCGGCAATCATGACCAACCTGTCTCTAGCCACCCGTGGGAGGCTGTGTAGATAAAACAAGGCCTACTACCAACTACTGAAAAGCTCTCTGTCGCTCGCTTCTTCGGTAGCTGAGCTTTAGTCAATGACTGCCTGCGAAATGCCACAGAAACATATGCTGCTGCTGATCATTCAGTTATTCAAACACCGAACCAACGACGCGAGCCGTTACTACCGCTACCATCGCAGCGCTTCATGGGGGGTTCGTATATCGTTGTCGGACCCCACTCCAGTGATTGCTACTACCGCTAATGTTGCTGCTGTTGTTAGCGGTGCGAATAACAACGAGAGGAAGGGGGAAGTGAATAAAGCTTAGATGCCCGATGCCGAAGACGTTCCAGCACCTTATCCAGTCACCCATCCGGACGCTCACTGAGCCCGTGGTGCTCATCATAGTGGCCACTTCCTGCTGATCTAATACTTACGCGAAGAAGATATTGCTTCGTGTTGTCACTATTACGGTCGTATTGGCGCCGTTCCTGGTCGACATCAGACGGCGAATTTGCGGATGGTTTGTCGGACGCGGCCAGCAGGCCGGGGGCTCAGAACAGGAGGGTGCGCTGATGCTACCAGCAGCAGCTCCAGTAACGACAAGGAGCGGAGAAAGATTGATGGCGGTGGCGGCGGAGGAGGCGACAGTAGGAGAGTGAGAAGACGCGTCGCTCAGGGGGGTCGTTATTGATGGCGGCGTCAAGCTCAGCCTAAGAAGAGACCAGAGAAACGGACGAAGGAAATCACTTACGGTAGCGTGAACACCACTGTGCTAGGCCGAAAGTACGGTAGCGGTCTTATACGTAACAACATCGATGACGTTACTAATAGTCGCGGCACATAGAACCTTACGTTGGGGTAGCAGTAGAGAATTATTACCAGCAACGAGACCCTCACCGCCGTTGCTCATTCTCTTACGATGATACATAATTTATATGAGATTTATTGGCCCGGTCGTTGGTAAAGCGGTGAAAAGTGAAGACTGAGCGGGAGATTAAGCTATTTAACGTAAGGTCTCTGCGCGAACCGTTAACGCGGTGAGACGAATTGGCACGAAGCACTATGGTACCACATAGCAGAGCTCTACGAATAATTAGTGATGTGCGTCCGGCGGGTGGATAATCAATTATTTTTCTTACCTCGTGATGAAAACAACAGCGTGGCCAAAGGCAGTAGCAGCGGAGGTGGTCAGTTTAACTTTTGTGAGTGGCGCTTTATAGGAATTTATGTCATTAATGTTTCGATACAATGTCCTGGGGAGCTAAGCAGAGTTGAATCTCATTGGCTGAAGGTGTTTCTACTTAACTATGAACGGGCAGTTTTCATTCACTGTATTATCTACGTAGTAACAACCTAATAATCCTTAATCGGACATTATTATTATTAGGGTAGGGATAGGGTCGGATATCATTCACTGTATTATCTACGTAGTAACAACCTAATAATCCTTAATCGGACATTATTATTATTAGGGTAGGGATAGGGTCGGATATCATTCACTGTATTATCTACGTAGTAACAACCTAATAATCCTTAATCGGACATTATTATTATTCGGGTAGGGATAGGGTCGGATATCATTCCGATTTAGACGACCGTTCCCCCGTGTCGGTGAGCTATATGTCCATATATTGCATAGCGAACACCTTTATAGCATGTTATCTAAGAGTCTCTTAGGCCTGCCACCGTCTTTGCCAAAATACACGATTTCTCGCACAAACGTTCACGACATACACGTGCTAGTTGATGACGATACAACAGACACAACCGGAAGCCTAACCCTGTTACACTTCGAACTACCGGTCGTCGACGAACCGTATGATTGCGTGTGTATTTTGTTGAAAAACGGTTCTCAGCCAACCATTTAGACCAAGCACTTTTGCGCATCATCGTAAACCTAGTGAACTTGAAAAGGAAGAAAATGAGCATTTGAGAGAATGTGCCAGTCTCGACTGAATGCGCTATATGCTACCTCAATGTATATCTATAATAGTATTTTTCTATATAAAGAGTTCATATTCGCATGTTTATGTTTCAGCGATCTCCCGAGAACTTTGTCGAAGTACCTTCATTTCATGGATTGTTGTTAGTTCGCTGCCGGCAAACTTTGAGAGTGGGCCGTGTCGTCAGTTAACTTTGGCCAGTAGCAATTTATAAATTGCTACTACACCGCTTAAGATAAGGTTATTGATTATTATTATGGTTATAAATGTTCTTGAAGAAGAACGCTATTTATTTACTGTTAGTGTGCGTCTTTACGGTCTATAATCTTCTCCAACCTTTAGGAGACTAATCAGCATGCTCGTTATCTATGTATCTGAACGTTCTTTTTCTAATCGTAATACCCAGCTCAAATGCCCCATGTACGGGAGCTCTCATTTCCGTTTAATCAATAGGCATATTATTGTTGCAAAATTAGTTAGTACACAAAACGTGGGTTCTGCCTTTTCCATCTTAAGCATCGAGTTGAATGTCTGCAGTTTCTTTGCCTGTCGCTTCTTTACATTATGTAATATGTTCCTGGCTCTATATTACCTTAGAGTTTTAATTGTCTCTCTGCATTTGCCGTAGCCGATTTGATTTTACAACTTTTCTCTTATCGATCTTTTATATCGTTGTTCATTGTTAAATATCTTTTGAATTTAATTCTTCATCATTCAATCATTTTTATTCCGTTTTCGAGGAGACGTGCTATATAGAAAAAATGTATGCAGAAAATGTAACTTACCCCGGTAATGTTTGAACCAACTGTTTACCAGCTACAGGCTTGCATCCAGACTAATTGACATTCCTAACCCTATATCTTAGTAAGATATATTGATATGGCCAGAATAAAGGCCACCTAGTTCTAATCGAAGGTCTGTGCCTGCATTTGATTATTTCTAACGTACAAGTGTTGGCGTTAATTCTGGAAAAAAATAAACGTAAAGAGTGTACATGGCTGTACCGCTTTCCACATTTTAGTCCGGCTCTGAGAATTCCGCGTAGCAGCTGTACAAGAAGAAATAGCATACGGCAGGCTCACGGCAGACTCTGAAACATCATTTGTGTATGTACACCTGGTTATTAGTCAAGGCCATTGAGACCTGTCTTTTGATGAGTTCGTGCGTGCTCCCTATAAGGACATTCTAGTGATTAATATTATTAAACTACTGTTGCTATTCAAGTCAAAATTTCATACAAACAAAAGCCCAACCCAATACGAGCAAATACTTGACATATTCATGTATTAAATATATAGTATATTAAGATATAGTAATTATGATAACAAGTGAAAAGGAGTATTGTAATAAGGATGTCGTGATAATTATATAAATAATAATTAAATAAATTGATTTTGTAACTACAGTAATTAACGCGAAGTGTTCTTACTTTAGTACCACAAACATTTCTTGCTGGGGATAGGTCTAGCGATGCTAGGTATGTGTACATATATCTATATACAGATTCTACCGCATAGCTCGTGTAGTAGAATCTCTGATTTCTTGAAACCTCCGGGTAGTTTAATCTAGGAGTATTTGGAAATGATGATGAGGCTAAATAGTGATCTATCCTAGAGGAACGTTTTTTGGCGCTTTCATAAAATATATATATTTTTATTTAGTTTTTCTTTTCAATTTTTTATCATCAAACTATTTTTATCATAAATATAATAAAAAATAAATGAATATATATATATATAAAATTATTATTGCGAGTTTCGAACCAGCCAACCGTAAGCTGTCTATGGGCAGAACCTTTGCCGCCCTATACATCGGTAGCCGTTACAACATCCCGAATAAGTCTTCTGCCTGATGTAAAGCTAAAGCTGTTGCGGATATCGAGCTTCAAGCATCTCCGTCCTCGCGAATATTTTTCCGCCGTGTGATTTCTTTTTTACAACGTATCCTTTTCAAGATCCGAACACGTTTCCGTTCACCTTTACGGTACACAAACGATAATATTTATTACGTTAACGTAACTTCTTAAAACAGAACAGGCAGTGTAATGCATACGTGATGCGACGACATTAACAGTTCTTCATATTAATTATCTAGGTAAACTTTGAAACAGGTTCCAGCTTCGTTCTGTATTTGCTTGATTTCATAGATGTAGATTGTATTTTTTATTCTCATGTAAGCTACGAAGCTCTAAGAATATTTTCACTCTAACTGATGCTTTAAAATCTTCTCTTCGAAAGAGATATTGAGGGCATCATAGATAGAAGCTACGTTAAGTTAAACCACATATTATTACTGTAATTAAACCGAAGAAAGGTACGGATATGTACGAGCAATAAATAATAACATTGATACTTCTGCGTTTCTGTTTTTTTTTTTTTTTTTTTTTTTATTATACTAAAACGGGTGAAGCCACAGATTATCAGAGTTCTTTCAATGAGTAGCTACACTCCGACGCTCCATATTAGGTTTTACTAAAAGTTTATTCCTATATACTAAAGTTAATAATGTAGAACAACAGCTACATAACGCAGACACAACAGAAGCACTTGAAATTTATAGGATAATCACTCGAAGCAGTCGATCATCATATTGATGTTCTCATCCCAATCTCAATGAGATTAAAGATATAGAAAACTATAAATTTGACGGACTAGATTGTTTAGCATTCATTTTTTCATAGTTTATGTGTTTCAAGAATAAGAGCATTTTTTGTAGCCTACATAAACACATTAGTAAGCGTTGAGTATATAGATATCGACTCAAGGCAGATCTTAAGCGCCATAATTAGTATTCATTCAAGAGCACACTTCAGCAGCATGTCTAGAACTGAACGTTCTGAATTTTTTGTACAAACAACTCTACAATATTGTTTTCCTTAGTCTCGCTAGATAGTCGAACGGGGTGATTTCCATGCATCGGTGCGACAATCAGCTATTTTCTACACTCGTAAACTATTCTCGTACTGTCCAATTGTTTCGTTATTTATCTAAATACATTTTTATCCGCATTGATATTCTTAGTAATACGAACTATTATGAATTAATTAATGATCGTCTTGGAATTATATTTTTCTTAGACATGCTGTACATTTTAGATGTATGTTATCGTAACCTGGGTCGATCCCTAACCCCACTACTGTTTCTCTGCCGCAAGTTTTCGCGCATCTGCTAGTCGATAAATAATTTTAATGATAGCAATAACATTGTTTTTATTTAGTGTAGCCTGTTTGTCAAATCTGCTATTGTAACCCTTGTTAACGTCTAACTAGTATTCCTTGAAGAAAATTAGGGCAATGAAACACACGGTCAACCAACGCCATGGTTAAAAAATTCTATTCAAATTGTGATATTGCTAGCGTATTTGAATGATTATAGTCATTGACCTTAAAATCATGATACACTTATGTTGCCAGAAAACACCTTGAGTGAAGTCTATATAGACTAAGCAAAGAAAAAAAAACTTTTTTTTTTTTCTAGCGTTTCCATTATTGATAGCGTTCCGGGTGTAGCGGCCGCCGAACGAGTACTGCGTTTCTTTTATGGGCAACTAGATGCCAGGGTTGACGTTTGCCTTCTCCAGTCACACAGCGGACAAGTTTGTCTTCTGCGCCAACTTCTGGTTGACATCACCATTGATTTAAACATTTTTTCTACATCGGCAACAAATTCCTTGTTAAACTACATTCCTGCAGCACTACACACTAGCAAATACGGAACTATATATGGAGTCGAGGTTTCAATAGTTCAAACAGTGACAGATCGCTGCTAGCTTTTATCTCAATAGAAAAGTGACCAAACTACTTTAGCTGACATTGTTCAGTTTTCTGATCCGAGTAAATATAGAGAAAGGAGTAATTGAAGCGTTGTGTGCTACCTTTTACAAAACCTTACTAGGGGTCCTAGGTTTCTGTTCTCAGTTAACGTGTTTACCTCCCCGAATGTGTCTTCACCTTATTTTCTTTCTATAGTAACATAATGAACTTGTATAACGTAATACATACTAGCAAAATTCGGATGGCTCGAAATTCATTACCAACTTAGCTCAAACTGCTTGCCCCCTGTCAACACTGTTTCTAAAAATATAATATTCATTATTATACTAATAGTATGCTTTTTAAATAAGTGTACTTGATGAGAAATAGATACTATACAGCCACAATCCCAGATCGCCACGAAATTTGTCTCCCGGCTAAGGCATGGGGCTTCACATACTTTTCTAAGAGATGTTTGTCATTGCTCAAGGTTATTAGGACACTTTTTGCTTCTTGACTTCCAAAATACCAAACAAGAATTACTCTTTGCCTGTTCACAGGATCGATCGTGGGGTGTTCGCAACCATAAAATGTTCTCGTTAATGGTATTCTAAAGCTATCCATATAGTATAGGATTTCAGCATGAGGACAACGATTAACCTAGATCAATAAATGTTTGCTGCTGTTTGTGTTTCCGTAACGCTGTACTAAATACAAACTCCACCGCAGATACGAGAAATCGACCAGGACAGATAACGTTAACTGGTCGTAGATAGAATAAATTGTGTCATTTCGTATTTTTTCGTTAATGGACCCTTAGCCCATCGTATATTTGCTATAACGGTTCATAGGAGGAGAGAATCAACGATAATTTGTACGCAGAACTAGCGACTGCCTTAGCTGCTGTTGTAACTAACAGGGACGTCTAGTAGATAGATTTTTTTTTTGGAATCTCGATTTATAGCATCACAACGACCTCCGATCACGTTTTCAGCGGAGTCTGAATTATAGCTTATAAAACAAGAGCTGTACTTGTCCTTGTCCTTGCTTCATTTCCGATGAGATCAGCTTTAGGAAAATAAATTGAATGATTTCATTGTACATACGGCTGGCTCACATAAGTTAAATTCCGCCACGATCAGCCGCCACGTGAGGCACGATAGTAAATATCGCATCTGTACGAAGAACTTTTACAAACCAAGTTAGTTTAACGATTTAAATGAAATTCAATTACAGAACAAGTTTCAGACAGCGGTCGTGGTTTGTAAAATTCATAAAACAGATGGATTTTGTGTGTACATGGGCAGACCGAACGTAGTTGCTAACAATATAATATTGTACCTAGTGTTTCATCACGTTACCGAACAATGAAAAATGAACTTTTTTAACCGGTTCTATTTCGCAGATGTTACCGAAAGGCTAAAGTGGTAACATTTGT